CGTCCCCGCCTCCGAAGCTCGCCTTCCGATTGCTCACCCCGGGTGCCGGCCCCTCCCCGAGCCCCCGAGCCCGTTCTCGCCAGTGGGGCTGGTGGCTTGCTTGCCGACCAAGCCCCGCTCCGACTCACCCCGATCGCCTCCCACCCGGTGGCCTAGACCGAACTCGGAGGCCGCTGGCCTTGGCCGGGCAGCCCAGGACTCCAGGGCCACTCCTGCTTCCCTTTCCGCCGGGTCCCGCCCCTCTGACTCCTGTCTCCTCCCTTCCCGAGCGGCTGGGGGATGAGGGCTCTTACTTTGGCTTGCATCTTAAAAAAAAAAAAGTATTAGTAATTGGGATTTAATACATATTTCATTCCATAGCGCAAGCACAATTGTACAATTGCTACCCAAATCAGTTTCCAACCTCCTCTCTCTCTGTCTCTGTCTCTCTGTCTGTCTGTCTGTCTGTCTGTCTGTCTCTCTCTCTCTCTCTTTCGGATATCAAGGAGTTCAAAAAGAGAAAATGTTTTGAAACTGACTGTGGTGGCAATGGTCAGTTGCTTGATGTGATGGAACTGTGAAATGTTATATGTTATGATATCTGTAAGCGCTCCCAATCAAATGAAAAAAAATTGTGAATTATATACCAATAAAACAATTTACCTATAGATACGTAAATCTATCCAGATGGTAACTGGATTAATGGCTTCTTGGGGTATGGCAGGGAGGTGGGTGACAATGGGGATGAATAGCAATGAGTATGTTAAGTGGCCAGAATAGGGACTAAGGGGGGCTGTCTCCCCAATGCCACAACAAAGGGGTTGGAAAGAAATCAGGCACATTAATTAGACACCTATGCAAAGATCCAAACTGAGCATGCGCAGACACAAGGCCCCCCCCCCACCCCCCAGTGCAGATGGGAAGTCCACTCGAGCGCACAGATTAGGCCCAGCCACATGACATCACCCAGGTATGCTTAAACTCAGCCAATGAGGTCGGCCAATACCTTCAACCCTGCCTCCCCAGCCGGGGTTGATAAGAGCCGCCACAGGAAGGCCAAGCCTCTTTGACTCTGCTCTTTGAGGGTTCTCTTGTTCTGGGGCACTCTTGCAGGCCAGAGGGTGCTGCGCACACCTGCTGCCTGGGCCCTGGGGCCCCCAGCTCCCTCTCAGGCCTCCCTCTCAGGGTGCTCTTTGGGACTTCCTGCTCTTGGCCCCTGGGATTTCATGTGAATACCTGAAACTTCCCTTTTCCTCATCAAAGTCACTTGGATTAACAAAAGTGTTTCTGCTGCGGGAATTCTTTAAGCACTGCGAAGCAAGAACCGAGGTATCAACCGCCCCAGGAACCTAACAAGTACAAGAAAGAAGAAACTGCTAAAATTAGGATGATGACTGTACAGCTCTTCATAACATGGTTGCCCTATCGTATGATTTCTGAATTATATGCCAATAAAACAGTTTAAAAATAAATAATGAAAATTTAAAAAAACTTTTAAAAAAGAGGGTGTCTTCCAATGGCATGACACCTCTGAGATACACCTCCACAGGAACATACAAAAACAAAACAATGCAAACTAAAATTACAGAACATTTTGGAAACCAGATCTGGTCCGGCCTGCATCGTGGGTGGGTGGGGGTGGAATCTACTGACAAAGTTTTAACTGTTCAGGTCAGACTTCTGCCTTTGATTTTCTATCCTCATCCAAGGACTCTGTTTAGTGACCACTTTTCCCATCCTCAATTTTAGATAGGGGGCGTTCTCCGGAGTCATTTCCTATTAGTTCTTCAAGTGAATCTTGGGCATCCACTGTCATCCACTGCTTTCTGCACACCGGATTCTCACAGTTTATCCCTCCTTCACCTTCAGAATGGATGGAGTCCACGCCTTCAGTGACCGATGATGGTGTGCTTCTTCCACGTGGACTTAGTTGACATCTCTCTTAAATGGCTGCTTGTATGGGGGTAAGCCTATAAGACCCCAGCCACTTTTATCTGATAGCCAGACACCATCTAAATTGCTTGCCACACTTTGCTAGAGCACCTGTATCTTCTGTATTTCCTTCCCGAGGGCCAGTATTGAGCAGAGCCATGATGCAAGAACTAATTGTTCTCGAGTTGGAGCTAGTGTTTAATGCGAGCCCCAAACCCATTTCTGGATCTATGCTTTTTCTTTTCTTTTAATTTGTTATTACTCAGGTGGCTTGAATCTTAACAGTTCCCGCATGCACAGCCTTGTACCATCAGAAACGACAAGAATGTACAAGTGGAAACACCCGCAGGCCGATGAACAGACTGCGAGCAGGCAAAGGGCGAGGCAGTCAGGTTTGTTTAAATTTGGCAGATGATAAATTCTGCAAAGTTTTGTGTGTGTTGTAAATATATACCAGAGGACTGTACAAAATTCCGTGTGTGGGGGGGGGAATCCATTCTTTGTTAATTCTGATTTTCCATGCATTTTTGGCAGTCCTCCTTGTATATGTTTATTATAGAATAAATGGGGTGGGAGGGCAGGAGATTACGCACACATGTATCTTATCAGGAACCAAACAGCTGGAGGGAATGAGTCCTTGAGTTTGAAGACTTGGGACCAAGCTCAATTGGCATAACACGGTTTGCCAAGAATATTCAAGATTCTACTTTTCTGAGTATTGACTGTGGTCTTAGACGCTTGAGAGCATGTCCCTACTTAATATTCACCCTCATGAAAAGATGATTGAAGATATGGGTGCTATAGCAAAAAGGTGAAGCGATCAGGTGGTGCCTGGCTTTCAGAAATAATAGCATCTGGGCTCTTAAAGGCTAGTCTTGAAACAAGCAGCCATCTAAGTGAGACATCGATTAAGTTCTCAGGGAAGAAGTGCACCGGCCTGTGTGATCCCAGGATTGTAGATAATAAATTCCAAATCGGAATGAAGGAATGGTATCAGAACTTAAATGCTGAACACCTGGTCTCCAGAAAGCTATGGAAGCCCAAAATCCATTTAAAGGGCCTGCACACAGATTAAGCGATCTGTGAATCACCTCTGTCTGATCAGAGCCTTGTAAAACCGATTATGGCCTATGTAGTTATGTGGTAAACTGAGGACTCAGTAGAGTGTATTTGGCCTCATTTCTACGCTCACAACCACGGGCATGGAAAACTAGCCCTATTTTGAGAAGGTTCTCTCGTTCTGCCATAGACATGCTTTCAAATACACGTTCTCCAGGCCGAAAACGTGCTCTCCAGAATTGCTCTCCATTAAGGTATGATGTCTCATACCTGTGCCTGGAGGTTATCTGTAGATAAGAGCATTCCAGCTCTACAGAGAACCCACTGTAAAAAGTAGGAAAACCCTCTTCTGACATCTTTTGCCGATACGGATCAGAGATGACTCCTCCAGGGAGGGCTCAGGGGTGGCTGAGGTCAACTAGCACTAGGTCAAGATGATTCACCTCATTGCTCCTTTATTATGTTACCCGATTATGATATGACCCATGACTGTGTAATATGTTCGCTGTATGATGTGCACGCCTTTTGAAAAGTCTGTAAGCCCCATTACAGATCCTCATTGGAAAATACATTCAGCCTCTTACTCTAGACATAGAGAAAAGGAGCCCCTGGGCCCCGCTGTCTGTCTTAATTATATTTTACAGTCGCAAAATTGCTCCTGAGGACCCATTTGACTGTGGGGACCACCCCACCATACAGAGTTAGGTTAAAATGTGAGCTAGTTAAGGTTTATTGTGCCAACCTGGCCAATAAACACATGTGGGATTAATTGAAGGGCAGAGTGACAAATGGTTCGGTGAGCCTCACCTTTCTAGTTCTCGGGTCTCTTGCTCTCGGACGGTTGGAACAGGGTGCAGCTGCCTTAGCCAGTTCTCTGCCTCAGCTGGCAAGCCTCACTTCCTGCAAGACATCCCTGAGGAGAAGCCACATGGACCTACCCTGATGCAGCCCTGGGTGCTGGAGCAGCCGTGTGGAGCCCCCTGCC